TCTGGAGATATTCAAAGCCCGCCTGGATGAAGTCCTGTGTAACCTGCTCTGGGTGACCCTGCTTTAGCAGGGGGGTTGGACTGGATGATCTCCCGAGGTCCCTTCCAACCCTTGCGATTCTGTGATTCTGTGGTTAACACAGCTGGGAGAAACACTTTCCATGCTGCCAACAGGTTCCTTAAAACTGCATAGTTTAAGGCAGAGACGGTTTAATAATTATTTCAGTGAGCCAAACATTGTTCGGCAGGGATGATCCTTACAGCCAGCCACAGCCTGTTAAAATTTGTACTCCTGACACTGCTTTTAAATCTTCTGTTTCACTAGGAAATTCTGAAAAATTTAGATTATTTTAGTCCAGAATTAAAATGGGGAAGCAAATCTGCGTTTGTGACATTTAATAGCGTGACTTTGAGAAAGTATTGCTATGTTTTTCTATCCTGCCAGCCAGCTCCAAAGTCTGTCTTCTAGTATTGCTTCTCCATTTGGTTTACTAGCTTTTTAATATACAGGTTTTTTAACCAGGAGAGAGGATTCAGAGGGGAAAATATCAAGCAGCAGTCATGACTTGGCAATTGCAATGCCCTTTACCACGGGTCCAAAGAATTTAATTTTAGATTTCAGCTCTGTGGGCTTATTCCGATAAGAAGTTTGAAATCTATTGGTTTATCAGTCTTGGCACTACTTGAAAGAACTGCACTTGAAAGATGAATATGCTGTGAAATACCCTTTAACTAGTCATTTTTAGGAAGTAATAGTGCAGGAGAGAAAAATGTCTCTGTGAATGAGGACTGGGAGAAAACAGTAGCGTAATGGGAAATGTGCAGATGTTTCAGGCAGGTTATTGGACCCTGACAAAAATGGAGCCTTCTAAGTTCACAGATCGACGCATCTGAAAATGCACCTGGATAAAATCTTTCTCTGGACTCATTTTGCTCATATCTTCTTTAAAAACCACAACAGAACAGGAGATGATTTGCTGTGTTTTGAGGAGAGCATGGGGACCAGTTGTGGGCACCTGGTTCCGAAGTTATCTGCTAAAGAGGTCAGGGCTGGACTAAAGAAAAAAGAAAATAAGAAAAAACAGGAAAACAAAAAGGCAAAAGTGCACACGGTTGCAAAGGAAGCACTATTGCTCAGTCCATGGACTTCCCAGGGGTGCTTGCTGCCAAGTTACGCAAACCGCTGCAGCTCCAATGGGTTGGCTTTGAAGATGCCTCCAGTGTAAAATCCCTTTGGCTCAGTACCGCATCCCGTAGGAGAAAGGACCAAATTCAGCCCTTCCTGCAGAATTTTTGGAAGGGAAGGCACCTGTGTAAGAAGACAGGGCTACTCTGTACTTTAGAATCATAGAATCGTTTAGGTTGGAAAAGACCTCCAAAATCATCAAGTCCAACCATTAACCTAACCCTGCCATCCCGCCACTAAACCACGTCCCTAAGCTTTAAGACTGGTAGCTGGACCCTGCTGAAAGACAACTAGGAAACAATTTTCCTTCCTCCATTTTCCCTAAGAAAATGTAATACTGCCAAAGATGAATCAGTGACACCGCTGGAAAAGAACAAGCACAATTCCTACTAAGAGAAAATTAAAAAAACCCCAACCCTCCTCTCTCCAGCCCCCTTAACATATAATCTTGGCTTCATCACCACCAAACTTGACAGCAACTTGAACCACAACTAAACTTTCCTGACATCCAAATAACTCAAAGCCTGGCAGTGATAACCTTCTCCCCTCCTTAGTCAGGACAACTTAAAAGGTGAATTGTTTCGTGGACATGGTTCTGCCAATCCTCAACAGCCTAAAATACAGCCCAGTTTAACTCCATATGGGCTAGGATCGTCTTAACCAAAGGAATAGGAGCTTGTGCTGCCAGTCAGAGCCTCCAAAGCAGAAAATCTGCCTTTTGGTACGCTGGTTGTGCTCTACTTGAAACTGTATTTACTACTGCGTAAGACATCTCTTCTTTGTACCTAGAAAAAATCCTGAATGAATCACGCGGATGCCTACAGTCCCTTAAGGACATCAGCAACAACTTCATGGCTATCCTGCCAGATGCTTGAACAGGCTGAATAAAACCTGCCACCCCACGCGGCACCGCGTCTGATAGCAACAAATGGGATGCCTGAGAGACGAAGGCAGAAACCAGCCCTACTTCTCAAAGTGTCTGATGAGAAATCGCTGCAGTGTGTACACTACAATGCTCAACTTCAACACCTCATTAAAAAAAAACAAAGGGAAAAGATCTCCTATTTCAGCTTGTTTTCTCTCTCTCTTTTGTTTTTCCCCTTTTTCCTTTTTTTGAAGGAAATTTAGTGCCAGAAAAGGACCTCAAGGTCCCAGCCATTGGGAGAGAGTTGACACATTCAATTCTCCATGACACATTCAATTCGCAAGCCCCTGCTCCGGCTGCCAAAGGCACCAATTAGCACCAGTGGTGGAGATCTTATTTATTTAATTTCCACAGAAACTTGTTTAGCAAGAC